GAGACCACCAGCTTCTGTGAGCCCCATATTTCAGGTCCCAACCTCCCGTGCAGAGCTGGAGGCCAGAGAGCCTGCCTGGGTACCAGAGGAAGAGAGAATGTGTGTGCACCTGGACACGGTTTAGGGAAAGCCAGGCTTGGAAGCCTGACAGCTGCGGGTCCCTGCCACGGTCTGGCAATGTGTCCTGGAGCAAGTCACCTCGCCTTCCCTCACCCCCGCCCCCCCGGCTTCAGTTTCCTCCCTGTGAAATGAGGGTAATAATAGCCCTTAGCTGGAGTGCATGTCTTCAGGGTGGCTCCCCGGGCACCCACTTCTCTGGTCTACAAACAACATGTCCTGCTGACCACCTCAGGGCGTCCCCTGGTGGGGACTGTGCTGTGTGGGGGGAGCAGATGCTCCCCTGGAAGTTCTGCTCAGACTCGGCTCTGCTGTGCTTTGGGGAGCCTGCCTGCAGGATTTTCACAGAGTGGGCGGCATTCCAGAAAAGTTGTCCCCCAGGGCTCAGAAGGGAATTATCAGGGAGGAGTTGAGAAAGAATCCCTCACTGTTTTTTTAGAGATTTCATTTATTTACTTTTACAGAGAGGGGAAGGGAAAGGGAAAGAAGGGGAGAGAAACATCCATGTGTGAGAGAAACATAAGCAACATCGAGAGGTTGCCTCTCACAGGCCCCCAACGGGGGACCTGGCCTGCAACCCAGGCATGTGCCTTGATGGGGAATCAAACCGGTGACCTTTCAGTTTGCGGTGCGGTGCTCAATCTACCGAGCTACACCAGCCAGGGCAGGAACCCCTCACTCTTTGACCTGCAAAGGGTATCTCTCTGGCTTGGCGCAAACATTCAGTGGAAGGCAGTGTGGACTGAGTTTTACCCCACCACCTACTAGCTGTGCCACCGGCCCAGCCACACCATTCTCTGAGCCATGATCTCCCTCGCTGTCAAAGGGAGCCACGTGGAGCTGCTGTGGGCCTGCCTCTGTCATCCGCTCAGCGTTCCTGCCTCCCCCGGAATAGCAGCCCTCTCCTTCTTTGAGGATGTCTTTCTTCTCCAAACACCAATTCAGCAACGGCTGTCATGGCTTCCCTGATCCTGTCCCTTGGCCCATAGGCGGACACCTGCTTAGAGCCAGGCCCATCAGAAGCCTTTCCGGTTCCGTTCAGTTTTGTTTTGAATCAGAACTAAGAAATGGCTGTTGGCTGAGAAGCTCGGGAGGCCACATGTCACTAGCCACATGTCCTTCCTCATGGCAGAGTTAGTCTGTATGAAGAAAGGCAGAAGAGAGAATCCTAGTTGTGTCTCTGATTCCAGCTGTGTCTGGGTCCACCAGCCCTGCTCACCATCTGGAAATTCGCCCTTTCTTAGATTCCAAGAGCTGCGTCACTGGTTGGCACTGGTTTCTAACAATATACTTTCTCATAGGGATACGTGTAGGATCAAATGAGCTCAAGTGTATGAAGAGCTCAGGCCAGCGCCTGGCCTGCTGCAAGCTCCGTAGGCATGAATTCCTTTCCCTTAATGGGCACCAGGCAAGGATGCGGAGTTGGCGAGATACCAGGAAGATGTGAGGCGTCAGCACTCGTGGAGTGATGCAACGTAGCCGCTCCTGGGAAACTAGAGTCAGGTGCCCTGGGGCCCTGCAGAGCCACACAGGAGACCAGAAGGAATGCCCAAGCAGAGCCTTTGGTGCATGGGAAAGGGTGGGGCTAAGAAAAAATTCCTGCCTGTCCCTTTATGGGAGGAGGAGTTGTCAACAGATACCCCCCTGTGCTGGGGATATATGCTGAAGTCCTCGAAGGTCCAGAAGGTGGACGCCAGGAAAGGCTTTCCAGAGAAGGGACATTCCAGCTGGGTTTTGAAGGATAAATGAGAGTTTGCTGAGCGGGGACAAGACTTGGAAAGGGACATCGAACTATCACTGCCTATCAACCACGGTGTGTGCAGAGCTGATTAATGTGAGGATTGAGATGGTCTGGGTTTGAATCCTCCCTCAAACAAACCTTAGACTCTTATAGTTCTGTTCCTTATCTGCAAAATAAGTTAGTTTTTAGTATTAAAGGAGACAATATAGGCAAAGCAGTCAGGGTAATGTGCTGGCATTGTGATTAAATAATAAATATTTAGCTTATTAGGAAAAGCCTTTACTTGTTACATCAGTCTAACTCCCTTAAAATGTTACAGCTGTTACCATTTGCTGAGCCCCTAAGTCCCAAGCACGGCGCTGAAAGCTCAGCATGCACTGCTGCTTCCCCGTAACCCTCCCAACTCCAGGAGGTGGATACAATCGTGCAAGTGGATACAATCGCGCACCACCTGAATGGTGTTTGAGTCAACATGACACTCAACAACGATAATAAAAAACTATTTGCTGTTTTATGTGTTTACTATACTTTTAATCCTTATTTTAAAGTGTACTCTTTCCACTTATAAAAAAAGTTTGCTGACACCTGGTTGGTGTGGCTCAGTGGATTGAGCGCCGGCCTGGGAATTGAAAGGTCGCCGGTTCAATTCCTGGTCAGGGCACATGCCTGGGTTGTGGGCCATGTCCCTGGCTGGGGGCATGCGAGAAACAACTAATCGATGTTTCTCTTGTACACAGCTATTTCTCTCTCTCTCTCCTTCTCCCTCCCTTCCCCTCTCTCTAAAAACAAAAGAATGAAATCTTTAAAAAAAAAATAAGTTTGCTGTCAGTGCACTGTGTTACTGAGACAGCAGCCTCATCTCTCGATTCCCAGGTTCCTGATCGCACCATTTTCTCTTCTGCTTGATTTAATCTCGTGTTGTTTTGTGCAACGCGCTGTACGGGTTTGTGGTCGGGGAGCAACAGGCTATACCATCTAGCCTAGGTGCGCAGAGCGCTATATACCATGTAGGTTTGTGTAAGTACAGTCTGCGAGGTTCACACAGTGACGGAATCACCTAACGAATTTCTCAGAACACAGCTCGCGTCCGAAGAGCCCAGGACGGTGCTGAATCCCCAGGGAAGACAGGGAGACAGGCTCCGAGAGGCACGCTTACAAATAGCCGGTGCGGGATAGACAGTGCGGGGTTCGAACCCAGGTTTCTCTAACGACCGACCCATGCATGCCCTGGCCCAGAGAGAGGACGAAACTAGCCTCAGGACACACTACCGCAAGCAAGCGATCGGGGTACCAGGATTTCTCCTGGACCGATTCCAGGGTAGCGATTTGGGGGAGTGGGGGAGGGACTTGATGTTTGCGTGGTTCTTTATAACAGCATGTCGCCACTAACCTCAGAGAACCCAGGGTGGCTGGTGGAGGCGTCCTAGGCACAGCTAAACCCTCCGCAGTCCCACCCGAACCCCCTCCGCTGCAGGGCTGGGCGCGCCCGGGGCTGCGTGGTCCCGGAACGGACTCAGGAAGGGCTGGGCTGCCTCCCCCGAGGTCCGCAGGCCCCGCGGAGCTAGAGCTTCAAACCCGGGCTGCGCCCCTCCCCTTCCCAACCGCCTGCAGTTTCCGCCGAAGGTCCTTGTAGAAAATTCCAACCTCTGCCCGCCCCGGGAACGGGGTTTTCCCAGCAGGGTGGGAGCAGCTGGGTGCGTCCAGGCGGCTGCAGCCGGAGCGAAGGGTGAGCTGCAGTCCCTGCGTTCCCTGTGGGGGGGTCCGGCCAGCGGGCGTCCCCAGGGCCCCGGGATGGCCTTGGCCCCTTAGGGATGGGCGGGAGCGCCAGGGGAGCCCGGTTCAAGACGTACTGGCAAACAGGAAATGAGACAAAGGAGGCCCCTTATCGGCCCCGCATTCCTTTCAGGTGATTCCTGCAAGGCCACGGGACTCCGCCGGTCCTGAGAGGCTGCCCGCCAGAGAGGGGGACCCCCGCCTGCCTCCCCTCAGCGACCGGGCCCCGCTCAGTGACGCGGGTTTGCATGAGGAAGATTCCTGCTTTGGGGAGCCTCCTCCCCAGGCACAGCCTCCCCGGCGCTCTGGGGAAGGCAGGGCTCCCTACTGACCAGTGTGCTTGGAGAGATGCGCTGGCCTCCAGCTCCCGGAGGCACGTGGAAGAGAAAGAATGGGTCACATCCACTCGACCATTTCACAAACTGTAATGCCACCTTGTGCCAGGGTGCCCGTGCGGGGACCAGGACCCACTAAGGAACCAGACCCAATGCCTGCCCTCAGGGGACCTTCATCATAGGGGAGGAGGGAGAACACCCAGATGAGTGAAACCCTCCCTGGGTGAAAGGGCTGGGTGCAGGTGCATTCAGGGAGGGGGTGTCTGAGCCGCTCTAGGCGGGGTTGCAGTGGTCTAGGGGAACATCAGGCGCCTTCCGCAGGTACCGTCTGCATGAAGGAACCCTGGAGGTGCCTTTGACATGAGAGTGGCACAGGGCAAAGGGGAGGGTAGAATGGAAGGTGTCTGGATGGGGGAGAGGGGATGGCATGTGCAAATGCCACGGGTCCGCATGTGTACTGGACACCTTGGGAGCAGTGAGGACTCGGGAGTTGCCTGGGCACAGGGTAAAGGAGCTGCTGAGGGTGCTGGCCAGGCGGGTCCTGGCAGCCTTGAAAGCCAGGCTGAGACCGAGGCAGATTTTGCTGGCATTGGGAGCCTGGGAAGGTGGGGTTGGGAGAGCCCAGGGGCAGGGGAAGGAGAAGGACCCCCTCGCCTGGGTGGCTGGGAGAGGCTGATCTGCAGAGACAGAGGCTCGGCTTCTGTGAGGCTGTGCCCCCCGCCTGCTGGGCACTGACTGGCGCCAGTTCTGCTGATTGGTGGGTTGCCCTCCCTTCTCAGGCGGTGCTGACTCAGCGTCTGAAAGGTGGTTCCCACGGGTTCATGCCTCTCTGGGGGCCAAAGGTCATGCCATCCCTGCTCCACCTCAAGTGGGTCAGTGCCCAGGACCACTGACAACGAGGACTGAATGAAGACTGAGGTGCCTAGTCCACCCGCCCCAGCCACCCAGCAAGCCCTGGGCAGTCTTTTCTGCTTTCTAAACGTAAGCCACCCCAACTCTGGCCTGGCTCTCTACTCCCAGAAGGTTCCAAGTTGTTAAAGTTATCAATATTTTGTTTTTATTTTAAAACAGTGAAAAGAAAAATAAATATCTTTGGAGAATAAGAATATAGGGGTAGGGTGGGTAGTGGGGCTAGAGACTTGGGGGTGTCCCGGCTTCAGTGGTCTTGCACGGGGGTGCGGGGGGCCTGGGGTCCGCAGGCTGGTTTCTCCCAGGCCAGGCTCTGTCCCGTACCCGCTGGGAGGTCTGGGGGCTCCACCAGCCTCGCCTGCCCAAGGCTCCCAGGCTGGGCGCTATGTCAGCGGAACCCTCCCGAGGATTAGGCCCCTGGCGCCTGCCTGTGTCTCGAGCACACGACTGGACAGGCAGATGGGGCAGGAGGCACCAACCACCCCAGCAGGCTCTTCTGCCGGCTGGCCCGGCACGGTGCCCACAGCCTCAGTGGTGACCCATGTCCTCCATGCCCACGCGGCCCCAGACACCCAGCACGAAGCTCTCGATGTCGCACTCGTTGGCTCCACGTACGATGCGGAAGTGGCCCCTCTCGCCCCAGGCTGGGCCCCAGGAGTTGGCCGCGGTCTGGGAACAGGAGGGGCGTGAGCAGGGGCATGGAGAAGCAGGGAAGGGGGTGGGGCAGGTGACAACTGCTGCGTAGCGCAGAGACTCACCCAGTATTTGAGCGTCCTCCCATCAGGAAGTGACTCCTCTCCCCACCTGCGGGCCAGAACCGGGCAGGGCCAAAGGCGCTGATTCCACCTGCTTGCAGGGGCTCCACCCCCAGGCCTGCCCTGTCTGGGTCCTGTTGCCTTCCGTCACTGGGGTGCACCCTTAGGACCTGGGCAGGTCTCTGTCCCTGTGTGCACCTGCCTCGGCCTCTACATCCTTTCAGCCCTGTGCCCACACCCAGTGCGGGGAAAGGCACCAGAAGGGATCATTGAGGGGTGAGCAGAAATAGGGAATGTGGACCTCTGGCCTCCAGGGACCCCCATCCTGGACCATTTCTCTGGAACCTCACACTTCCGCCTGCCCTCTCTCCTCACTTGGGGAGCTAAGGAGACCAGAAGGAAGAGCCTCGGAGAATGTGTGTAACTTAGAGGCCCCAAGCTCCCACTGCAAAGAGCATTTCGCAGGACGGCTGAAATCAGTGACTCCGACCCCTGCTGTTATCTCAGGTGGGGAAACTGGAGGCCGGGAGTGAGGTGCTGAGTCGGGCAGAGTTGAGAACAGGTGCTCAGATGGGGAGAGGTCGGCACCTCCCGGACCCTTGTCTGTGTGCCCTTGGAGTGATTTTGTCTCTGCGTGTAAGGGAGGAACAGTCCCTCAAAAGCCTTAAAGGGCACCCAACCCTTGGTGTGACTAGGGTAAGTCCCTCCTCTTTTTGAGTCTCAGTTTCCTCCTCTTCGAAATGGCGCTTTACAGGGAGATGGTCTGGATTCAAGGCAGGCTCAGAGGCCCCAGTGTAAACCGCTGTCCCTGCCCCTCCGCCCCCCAGAACCCCTTACCCTGTGATCTTGACGGAATGGGTCCCATGCCGGCGGTACTGCTCTGGCCTCCCCAGGCTCACTGGCGTGTGGCTGTAGATGCCGCCCTGGTACAGGAAGAAGTCCTCGTGCACCTCCATGAGGGCTGTGGACGGAGGTCAGATACCGGCACTGGCTCAGCCCGTGAGCAGCGGTGCCGAGGCCCTAGTGGAGATTCACGGCTCGGCTCCAGGGCCTCTCCTACCAAGGATCTAAGTTCCCCACCGGGTGCTGCCCGAGGGGAGGGGCTGTGGTCCCTTCACTCCCAGCCTGCGTGGACCTGCTGCCCAAGCTGTGCAGACCACGTGTGCTGCTGCGCCCAGCCTTAAGCAGGTACAAGCTTCTGGAATCCGGAAGCAGGTGGAAGGGTGCTTACCTTGGACAGGACCATTCTCCATCAGCTCCTTCATGATCTCCTTCTCCTGGAGGGTGGGAGGTGGGGAAGGGGGTGTCCATTAGGGGTGAGGCTCCAGGCTTAGGCTGGGCCTCCTGCTCTCTTCCTGTGCCCCCTCACCCATGTGCAGACTTACATTGGAGCCAAGGCGGTAGGCAGGAGTGACCTGGTAGATGTCATTGGCATGGGCATGGTGATTGGGGCAGCGGGCAGTGGCCTGGCGCTTGCCCCGCCCCATGGCCCGGCTGTGCATCATGCAGCGGGGCGCAGGGCTGGTCTCGGTTCGGTCCCGGCCCAAGAACGGGTAGCAGTGGTCTGACACCACCCTGGAGGGGCGGCAGGAGGGAGCAAGGGCCGAGTGAGCTTAGCCTTTCCTAAGGCCCCAGCCCCACGCCCCCTCTCCTGCCCGCACCCCAGCTGCTGCTCACCCTCGACGTCGCAGGAACCACCAGGCACCGTCGAGATGCCCACCTTGGCAGCCCTGCTGGTTGCGCTTGTCACAAGACAGCAGGTTCTGGGGTGACAGGACAGGTGTCATGTGCCCCAGAGAATGGATTGAGACGCGATCGGACGCTACGGCTGGCGGGAGGAAGCAGAAGGTGCCATCAGAGCTCTGGCCTTGGCCCTCCCTTCCCACCGAGCCGGCCCCTGTCCTTGGACGTACCCGCTGTGGAGAAGGCCCAGGAGCCCGCACAGTTGCCCTGGTCAAGAGGCTCGTGAATTAGATTGGGCCACTTCTCAGAGGCCTCAAAGGCTGAGGGCAGTACCTCCCCTGGAACCAGCACTGTCTGCAAGGCAAAATCACTCAGTCTGCCTCCTGCTCCTGCCCGGCCTCCCTGCCAGGGCCTTCTCCGGGGCCTCTTGTTACAGGCAAGAACTGAAGGCGCCGAGAAAAAGTCCAGGGCCTTCTGCAGTTTGACCTCGGGCCATCCCGCTGCGGAAGGGTTCCAGCACCCTTTGCATGGGCTCAAGTGGAAGACCCCTGCACCGCTGGTGCCTCCCCAGTGTCAGGTGCGGGGAGACCAGTTCTGTTTCACAGGCCAGACAGCCAAGGCCAGGAACAGGGAAGTGGCCAGGCCAGAGTCGCCCTGCTTCTCATCCTCAGCCCCTGCCGTGTTCTTCTGCACCTTCCAATCTGTCGCATCCTCTTTCCCACCAGGACCTTGGGCCTCAGGCCGCAAAGGGCCAGGGAGGGAAGAAGCAGTGAGGTCCCGTGACCCGGCAGGCTGCCAAAGCAAACAGCAGGAGGCAAATAGCAGAGGCCCCAGGGAGTAAGGACTTGGGCAGCCTTGAGCTGAAGTCCCTCTTCCGGGAGGGCCTGTCCGGCCAGCCCCTGCCTCCTCCCTGCCCACCACCGAGCGATGGAGCCTCCAGCAGGAGCCCCGGCCTTGTCTTGCTAAGTAACCCCTCCTCAGCCTTTGACTGTTCTGGGTCTCGTTCCCATTTCTCCCCAGAAAGGGTCCCACTAGTGGGAAGGGAGAAGCCCCCTCTTCCCTTGGGGTTCCTCCGAGCTGTTTCCGAGAATTGCTGCTCTCTGGCCAGAGCCAGGGGAGTGTCTGTTTTTCCCTTCCCAAAATACCAAGGTGACCTCCTGGCCCCCTGGGCCCTGACCCAGCTGGGACCAACAGCATTTTTTCCAGTCTGGGGAGGCCAAGAAAGGGCCCGGCTGGAGCCACAGCACTCAGAAACTGAGCAGCGGTACATTTTCTAGTGTGGCACCTCTTGTTATGGGCAAGAGCTGAAGGCCCAGAGAGGGAGGGTGACTTGTACAGCATCACACAGCGTGTTGGAGAGGGACAAGACCAGGCCCTCGGACATACAGGGCACAGGGCGCCAGGATCCCCGGGGTCCTAGGCTATGAGATGGCAGGGTTGTGGGCAAGAATGGACGTACGTGAATCTCATTCATGTTGGCGACGGAGGAAGACGGACGGATGGTGCCCAGGCGGTAGCGGATGCCCTCATCCAGGGTCATGCCCCAGAAAGCGCTGTGGTTCCCAGCCCGCCACCTGCAGGAGAGGGGTGGAAGTGACGGGCCTGCTAAGGCTGGGGGTCCCGGACTTATGCGCCTGTGCCCCGGGGCGGGGGGGCATGTGTAATGGGCAGAGTGCGCACACAAACGAGGCCGGAGTGTGGGTGTGCCTGGCCGCGCATGCGTCTGGGGCGGAGTGCGCGTGTGCCTATGAGCCCCCCAGCGCATTTCTGAGGCCTCTCACCCGTAGTTGCCCTGGTTAATGGCGTCGATCATGTCTCGGTCCACCAGGCATGGCTGCTGATCACACTCCCACCGCCCTTTCTCCTCGCAGGTGCTGGGGGACAGCAGGGAAGGAAGACGTGAGGGGGTGCTGGGCAGCCTCTGAAGGGAGGAGGCCTCGGAGGTCAACAGGGGCCTGAGGTTCTGTACCATTGTCCATGGCAAAACCCTTAGATGATCCCACCAGCCTGGTGGTTTTAAACGTCAGCTTCAAGTTCACAATTCTCAAGTTTGTATCTGTCCGGATCTCTCCCTAAACTGCAGCTTCAAGAACGTTGCTGATACTCAGCGTCACCATGGGTGTGTCTAATAACAGGTCAAATTTAGCACATCTCTAGTGGAGTTCCTGGTCCCCCCGCATGTCTGCCCTGCTCACAGTCCCCAGAAAACGGCCACTCCATCTTTCCTGGAGCTCAGGCCAAAAGCCTGACTCCCTCTGATGTGCTGATCCAATTCATTGGCAAGTCCTGATGGCTGTACCTTAAAAACCCACCCACAATCCAAACCACATCTCGTTCTTGCCTGCAGACCCTGTGGTCCAAGCACCTTCACCTGGATTCTGCCATAGTCTCCTCACTCCTCTGCCCGCCGCTGCCCTGCCCGTCCCTCCAGTGTATTTTTAACACAGCTGCCAGGGATCCTGTGCAACCAAATTATATCATGTCATTCCTCTGCCCAGAACCCTCTCCTGGCTGCACATCACAGAATAAGAGCCAAAGCCCCTACGGTGCCAGCAAGGCCCTGCACGATCTGTCCTCCCGGCCCCTCTCTGACCGCTTCCCCTCAGTGCTGTCTCCCGAGGCCCCAGCCGGCTGGCCCTCCAACGGTCCATCCCAGCTGTGTGCCTGCCCCAGGGCCTTTGAGCTGCTCTCTCCATGGCTCCCTCATTCCTTCCAAGTTTTCATTCAAATGGCACCGCAGGGAGGCCTGCCCTGGCCACCCTATCTTACAATTCAACATCCTCTACTCTTCCTATCCCACTTCCCTGTTTCATTTCCCCCTAGCATGCCCTCACTGCCAGACATGCTGCATATTTAGATATTTATATTGTTTATACCTGTTTCCTCACGGGCTCTAAAGTCCTTGAGGGCAGGTATTATTTGATATTTCAGTGCCTACAAAACCTAGCACAGAGTAGGCACCCAATAAATGTTCGTTGAATGAATGGATGAGGCCGCACAGCAAAGCGACTGCACATGGATTCTGAATTCAAGTCTGGGTCCCAGTCCTAGCTGACCAGGCACGTGGCCTCAGGTAAGTTATTTAAACTACTAGCTGTAAAATGAGGACAATAATAGCACCACCTTTCAGGAATGCAGTGGCAGGCTTGCAAAGCACTTAGTGCAAGGCTGGGCTCCAGAATTGTTATCCGCCATTATTGTTCTCCTGACAGGAACCCCGCCCCCGCCCCGCCCCCTTGGAGTTTCAGGCTCAGACCCAGCTGGCCCTCGGACCGCCCCTCCAGGCGGGTGAAAGTCATCTCAAGCTTCCAATGGCCAAGCGGGCTTTCCCTAAACCTGCTCCTCACCTAACACTCTCAACTCAGATACAGCCCCTACCCACAGGTGTTTAAGCCAGAACTCTGTGCGGTCTGTGGGGCCGACCCCACCCCCACCCCCACGCCTCCTCAATCAGCAGGTCCAGGAAGTCACACCAGGAAAGGCTCTGAGTCTGTCTGCTTGTCACCCCTCCGCTGTCACCCAGTACTGCCGTCCTTCCTCACCTCCTGCCCGGGCCATGGTGATGGCTTCCTAACCAGGCTCCCTGCCTTTCTATGATCCCCACCCCCACGCCGCTTTCTGAAGCCAGAGAGATCTCTGAAGAACAAACACCAGATTGTGAACTCTCTGAGTGGCTTCCCACAACACTTGGAACAAGGCACAGAATCCTCGCCGCGGCTTGAGAGACCCATGGGCAGTGGCCTGCACCCTGCGCCTCCTGCGGCCCCTCCCCATGTCACAGCTCCAGCTGCAGGGAGCTGGGGCCCGCCTCCGGGCCTTCCCACAGGCTCTCCCTCCCACTTTCCCTCCTGTGCCTCTCATCTCCCTGCGCCAGCAAAAACGTCCTTTCCTGAGTGGCCTTCCCTCCCCCCCACCCCACCCTAAACTAGGATTCTCTCCTTATTCACTGCTTTCCCATCACACCTATAAGAGGTTAAAGTGATAATGTTTGTTCATGTGTCTGGTTCTTCACCACTAGGCTGGGAACTCCAGTGCAAAGGACAAGAACCTGTCTTGCATTCTGGCTGCACAGAGTAGGTCTTTACAAGATAGGTGTGCCCTGACCAGTGTGGCACATTGGTTGGGTGTCATTTCACGAAGCAAAACATTGCTGGTTCAATTCTTGGGTTGTGGGTTCAGTCCCATGTTGCACACGAGAGGCAATCGATCAATGTTTCTCTTCCTCTCTTTCTCCCTCCTGTCCCCTCTCTCTAAAAATAAACAAACAAAGTCTTTTAAAAAAATTGCCCTGGCTGGTGTGGCTCAGTGGATTGAGTGCCAGCCTGTGAACTGAAGGGTCGCTGGTTCTTTTCCCAATCAGGGCACATGGCTGGGTTGCGGGCCAGGTCCCCAGTAGGGGGCATGTGAAAGGCAATCACACAGTGATGTTTCTCATCCCTTTCTCCTTCCCTTCCCCTCTCTCTAAAAACAAATAAATAAAATCTTTAAAAAAAATAGGTGTCCACTGAACACTTGAATTCTATGAATTCTCCGACGCTTTTATAAGCTCATAACTCTATTACAGGATGCTAAATTGCCTCCTTTGAAGCCTACCCCAGGCTCCCGCCTCCAATGTTGCCTTTTAAGGAGCCTCAAGAGGAAACAAGACCCAGTATGGCTGGACTCTCCAGTCCCAGGAGTGGGCGGGCACTTTCAGGGAGGGCCAGAGGAGACTGCAGGGGAGGGAGGCTCCCCCGGTTCTCTTTTCCCGCAGAGTCTCGGGAAGCATCCTTCGTCCCTCGAGGGCTCACACAGCGCAGAGGCCCGCAGGCACTGCCTCATACCCGCAGGCACCAAGCACAGGGAACACAGCTGTCCAGAGCTGGCCTGGGGGGCAGGTAGTAAGCTGGTCAGTCCTCCGGCCACCTCCTCTTTGCCCCAGGGCTGCTCAACCAGGTCTAGATTGGACTGGTGACAGCAGGTCCCAGCATTCCGGAGGGGCATTGGGGTGGCCAGGCCCCAGGGACAGGTGTGAAGAGAGTGTTAACCCCTTGGCGCCCAGAGGCATCCTATTAGGACCAGCAGGAGCATGCAGGCGCTGAACACACACACAACACACACACACACACACACACACACACACACACACACACACACACACAGCACCCCTCACACCAGTGAGGCAATGGAAACACTTATGTGTAATGCATTCCAAAAACTCCCCTTCTCCCTGGGGCCTCCCAGGCAAAGAGGGCAGGGGTGGAGTGGGTGCAGTGCCTCCTCCTCTAAGTCACAGGGTCCCCGTTATTTCCATTAAGTCATTCAAGGCTCCCTACCCAACCCTTTTCCCCTTCCCATCTCAGGCATCTGATTAAAGTAGGGGGCACGTCTGACCCCTAGGGAGAGGGGCCGCATTCCAGGGGAGGCCCCAGTACAGGCTGGCTGGCCTCCCGCTCAGCCATCCCTGACCCTCATCCGGTCCGGGGCAGCGGATGCTACAGTCAGAGGTTTCCTTCCTGGCGCCCCCTTCTCAGCCTCTGGTGACAGGGAGAAAGGTCGGGAGGGGCAGTAGTAGCCCAGCCCACACCAGGAGGTTCCAGGAATGACTCCGAGCTCAGGGGCCGCACCTGGAGTCCGGTGTCTGTGGTTGGTCACCCTTGGGGAATGTTGTTAGAATGCTATTTACATAAGTTGACATAGTGTAAAAACTCCCATGTGTCACATGAGAAAACTGAGGCTCAGAGAAGGGAAAGGACTTGCCCCCAGCACGTGAGTGGCAGGAACAGGGTTGGAACCCCGTCCGTCAGCCCCGGAGCCCACAGGGCATGCCTTCTCCAAGCCCCAAACACTCACCACCGGTTGCAGTTGTCCCAGTAGGTTCCCAGGACCGGATAGACTCTACCCTCGTGCACACATCCTGGTGGGAGGGAAGAGGAGAGACGTGGCTGAGGTGACCAAGTCCTCGAAGGTCAGCTGTCTGGAAACACGCGCGCACACATCCCAGCCCTCTCTGACACCAAAGTCAAACCATAACTTAAGACACCTCCTGCAGGGCCACACGCCACCTGCTACTTAGGAAGTTCATCAGGGACTCCTGCTTAGATCCTTCTTGCTTCACTTGCTGCCAGGCACAGCACTGCCTGGGTCCTTTGCATCTGAATGAGTTGGAGCTTGGAGAAGGGAAGAGGGGTGGGGGTGCATGGCGAATCTGAGGCCCCGAGAAGGCAAGAGGCTCCACTAAACTAATACAGCACTCGGGGATGATAACCCAGGTGTGCAACCTCTCACCCACAGTCCCAGGAAACTGGGGTAAGAAATTCAAGTATTCTCCTATTGGACAAGCGCATGGCAAAGGAAGGTGGCAAGGGCTGAAGGCAGGGACAGATCTGACCCACCTCCCAGGCATGACCAGCCACTGCAGGGGCTGAGAGCCCTGGGCAAAGGCAGAGGAATGGCTCGGGTGACCCTGACCAACCCCTGTGCACTTTATCAGCCCGAGGCTGAGTCAGCGGGCGGGGCCAGCACCTTCCATCTCCGGAATATGGAAACAGGACTGGGAGAAAGGGCAGAAAGCTGCCCTTCTCCCGGGCCAGCTTAAAACCCCGCTGATCAAGGATCTTCTCTTTCAGTTTTGCTGCAGAGATTCAAGCTAGACCAGAGTGGGGACTTCCTAGAGGCACAGACAGTGGCGGGGGGGGTCTCTTTTCCACATTCTACAAAGTGTCCCCTGGAAATGTCAGTGCATTGGCCTTGCTCCTGAACCTTGCTGACTTTGGGACCGAAAAAGCAACCCAGCCCTCGACGTCCGGTACCCACCTTGGATGGGGGGGATAGGGGGTGGCACGCCGAGGCAGAAGTCCCAGAAGTCCGGGCAGCAGTCGGAGATGGTTCGGTTGCAGAAGAGGTCACAGTAGCAGGTGGAGCCCAGGTAGGGCAGGGCGCAGTGGTCGTCGCGGCCTCGGCAGCACAGGTCCTGCTCCTGGCAGTACCGGCCTCCTGCATCCCGGATGCCCCGCAGGTGCAGAGCGGGCGCTAGCTCCCGGCGCCCACGGCCCCGAGGGACTCCCAGTGCTGACTCAGCCAGCAGCAGCAACAGCAGCAGCCCCTGCGGACACCTCCACATGGTGCCTCCTGGGCCCCAGGAAGGGCAGAGGTCAGGGGTCCAAGGCGGTGGGCAGCAGAGACCCCCCGGCACCCCGGGGGACGGATATCCCAGCTTCCTGCGACTGCAAGTCCGAGAGGGTGTAGCCAGATCAGACACCCTGACTCGTGTCCCTAGGCGGCACATGGGCAGCGGAGCCACAGGTCGTGCGCCTTGGCTTCTGGGGGGGGGGGACGGGGCAAGAACGGGAGCCCCTCCCTGACTTGCCTGGGAAACTTCAAGGACAGGAGGTGGGAACCGTGGTATTCCGGGTGCTCCCCCACCCAACACCCATAGGTGCGACCAGAGGTCTCTCCGGTCCCGGGTCCCTCTGCTCCCGCTTCAGCCTCCATCCCTGATGTGGGTCCCCCTCTCTTCTGTTCCCCGCTGCGCCCCTCTGACCACTCCGCACTCCCTCTCTGCCGTCGGTCCTGTCCCTCTGCCTGCCCCCTCCTCCTCTCTCCTCCTCTGTCTACCACACCCTCTCCCTTCCGAGCAGGGGAGCGTCCCTACCTGATGAGGGGTGTGGGCTGGCCCTGGCTGCCCCACGCGCCGCCTCCGGACTCCTGTGACTGACTCCGGTGACCGCTGGACACTCAAAGTCAAGTGAGGAGCGCGGGGCGGGATCGCCGTTTTGTACCGCCCCACCCGCGGAGCCGCCCGCCCGGCGGCGGAGGGCGGAGCCCGGCTCCTGCACCTGGGGTAGCCCCGTAGCTCCGAAGATGGGACTCGTGAGGGGCGAGGTGAGCGAGTGCTGTTCTCACTGGGGCTCCGTTTCCTTAGGGGGCGGAACTCTGACCGAAGGAGAGCGGAATGTGGTCTGACACCGGTAAGGACTTCCCCGTGGGCGTCGCCGTGCGCCTCAGGCGCTGGTGCGGAGAAGGGGAGCTGGGGGGCGGCGGAGCTCCAGGTTTTGGACAGAAGTTGGGGAGACGATGGGGAGGGCGCCGGCGGCAAACATCTCCAAGTCCCCTTCCGCAGCCTCGGCAGTAAGAACAGCCGTGCACGCACCCCTCTCCCCGCGCCCCTGGACTTGGGCCGCCCCAAGCCAGGTTCCTAGGAATGATTGGAATCCCGGACCTGCGGACTCCCCGAACAGCTCACCGTCCGCAGGGCGGGGGCGGGGGTGGGGGGTGGGGGGTGGGGGGCCGTGCTGTAGGGGCTGCCTCCCTGCCCTACAACCTTCTGTGGCTCTGCAGAGGCATCCCGCCAGGCTCTGCCCGGCTGTCCGTTAATCGCGAGGGCATCCTGCTTGGCACCTGTCCTCCCCCAGGGCCCGGTGGCAGGAGTCCCGCCAGCTGGTGGCCCCTCCCCCGCAGAGCCCCCCTTCCCGCCCAGGCTGTCCTGGGCCCCAAACAATGGGACTTCTGTCCCGCCAGGCTTGCCATCACCTTTTACCTCCGCATTTCGCAATCCCCTCTCCTCCAGCAGGTTGGGTTGGGGCCAGAGGACTCCAACAGCAGAGGGGATGAAAGACACGACACCTGGACACCTGCGCAGGTCTCCTGCTCCCGCGCCTGGGCCTCAGAGCCACCCCTGGGCGTGGGGAGCGGGGGCCAGCATCATGTCTAGGGATTCCCTTTGCCCTCTCTCTGACCTTCCCTCCCCCCTCGCCCAGCCCAGGCGCATCCTCAGCTGGCCTGCTCCTGGGGGAGGGGAGGGACCAGGACAAGCAGGCATCTGTGCCTGGGTTCCCCCCTGCCAGGGGACTGAGCCGTGAGTCACCAGAGGGACCCTGCCCTGGTGGGGGAAAGGGGTGGAGGACGGGGGAGTAGTGCCTGGGGGCCCAGCATTGGCTCTGACGCACCCAGGAGCCGGCCTGTCTGTTCCCTGCGGGGACCTGGGACAACGCCTAGACGGGAAACTGAGGCTAGAAGGTCAGCTGTGTCAGGTCACACAGCCGGAATGCAGGCTTCCTGCCTGCCGCCACTTCACTCCTTCCCTCCAGCCCCCTTCCGTCACCCGCTGCCAGCCTCCCTCCGCACCCTCCTGGTCGGGAAGTCCCTTTCCATATCTCACTTCTTTCGTTTTACCGCACGGTGGGCCTCCCAGTGTTGGCAAACCTCCAGCCCTCCGGGTGGGCGACGGAGGCTGCCCTCAGGAGAGCTGCCACCCGGAGTCCCCACTCTCACGGGTCAGTTTCTGTTGGGTGCTGGGCCGAGGGCTGGCGCAGGGACACCTGGCCTGTCCTTTACCTCAAATCACCCTCTGCGGGCCACCCATCCGAGTCTGTGTTGGGTGCGTGTTTGTGTGTGTGTGTATCTGTGTACTGTGTTCATGGGTGTTTCTGCTTGAGTGTGTCTGTCTGTGTCTGCTTGTCTGCCCTGTGCCTGTGCATCTGCCTGGACATTGCTTCTGTGCTGGCCACGGGCCTGTCTGTCCGTCCTTCGCTGTGCCGTCTACCTGAGTCTGTATGCTCGTTGGGGGAGCGTGTCCATGTGTGCCGCTGTGTGACTGTCCCTGTCTGTGCACGCCATTTACTAGGTGTCTGTCTGTCTGGGGGTTTTGGCTGTCTGGCCGTCCTCGCCTGTCTGTGCCCAGGAGGCAGGAACACAGAGCAGGGGGAAGATAGCAGAGCCAAGAGCGTGGCTCGTGGGGGAGGGGGTCCCTTCTAGCCCTGAGCTTGGCACTGGACCCAGTGGAATCTCGTGACTCACTGGGTTGCTTGGCCAAAGAGGAGAGGAAAAGGGCAGGGCTCTGGGAGGGGGGCTGGAACCCACTTTCCTTTTCCATGGCCTCCTCCTTCCTGGTGACTCATTCTTGTCTTACCCTTGTGCACGGGCCTGAGGCAGAGCGACAGGTGGGAGACACAGCAGGACTAACCCTGCGAGCCCACTGCCTCAGGCCAGCCTGGGCGCCTCCGTGCCTCGCTGGGGACTCTGGCCGACCCTGCCCCCCGACCCTGCCCCTCTTGGACACGTGCTTTCCCATCTGTACCTGGGAGCTCCCTTGGGGCTTTTTCATGCTCTTTTCTTTCCACAAAGGGGGGTGATGCTAAAAAGAGGCAGTGACATGCCTAAGGTCACACAGCAGAGCTGGGGCCCGGCCTCCTCCTCTCCCCAGGACCCAATGCTCCTCCTTCCCCACAACAGCTGCTCCAGGGCTCAGAATGGGCCATTCTCCTCCGGAAGCTGAGCAGGGCCTCCCGGGGAGAAAAAGACCCATTGTGCCCGGCTCCACCCAGGTCTGTGGCTCAGGGCCCACTACTTGAGGCCTGGAGATTCAGCTGTTTGGCTCCCAAATGGCATCCCAGTTCAGGCTGGGAGCCCCTCGTGTCCCACAGTGGTCAGCTGGATGTGTCCAGAATTTGGAGCAGTGATACCTGGGACTAAGTGTGAGATCCAGGCCAGGACTAACATCGTGGGTATTTAACCATGAGGTTAAATACGCCGTGACATGTCAGGTTCCTGGGGCCTGTTGGGTTGGTCACCTTATTGAAAGCACTCCCTGCAGGGCCGCCAGAGGCAGCTGCTGCTCTGCAGATCGTGCTGGAGCTTGTGGGAGATAAGATTAGGGGCCACAGGGAAGCGCGCTTTGTGCGAGCAGTGGCTTGCTTCACTGTCTGATTTTCTCATTCGTCCGACAAGCGTGTGTTGTGCATTTACTATGAGCTGGGTTCTGTGCTAGGTGCCGTGAGCAGGGTCGGGCCAAGCAGACACAGGTCCTGCTGTCGTGACATCTGCAGCTGAATGGGAAGACAGACAAACAAAGATACTGATCAGTCATCCCACAAAGTGCAGTGCTGTGAAGGTTTGCACTCGGCGCAGGGACCTGGAGCAAGGAGGTGGCCACCAAGGTCTCAGAGAGGAGATGGCATCTGAGCAGAGACCTGCAGGATGAGAAGGAGGCAGCCACTGCTAGAGCCCCGGGCAGGGTGGTCCCGGAAGCCAGCTCAGCAGTAACGCTGAGGCCGGGCACAAGTCGGTCTGTTTGAGGAACAGAAGAAAACCCAGTGTGGCTGCAGTATGAAGGGGGCAGAGGGGCAAGAAGAAGCTAGCAGCGGGCCAGGGCACCTCGGGCAGGACCTCTGATCGTGGTAGGGAGCTTGAGTTGTTTTCTGACAGCTGAAGGACTTCACAGGTGCAAAAGCCCACTCCGGCTCTCTGTAGGCTACCAGGCAACAGTGGATTCAGAGAGGCCAGGTAAGAGGCACTGGTGCAACCCAGACGAGGGACACTGAGGCCTGAACGAGGCTGGTGGCTGCGGAAATCAAGAGAATTGGGCCTATTCAAGACTCAGCACTTGTTGCCCTGGCTGGTGTGGCTCAGTGGATTGAGCACCGGCCTGCGAACCATAAGGTCACCAGTTTGATTCCCAGTCAGGGCACATGCCTGGGTTGCGGGCCAGGTCCCCAGTAGGGGGCACACCAGAGGCAACCACATATCGAGGTTTCTCTCCCTCTCTTTCTCCTTCCCTTCCCCTCTCTCTAGAAATAAATAAAGTTCTTTTAAAAAGTCAGTACTTGTTGAAGATTCAGAGGTGGTGGGTGAGAGAGGAGCAATGAAGGAGGGCTTTGGGCATCTAGCCTGATGGGTGGAAATTCTCTGCTCCTCTCTGCTCCTGCGACTGAGAGGCAGAACTCTTTCCCTCCCTGCAATCTGAGCAGGCTGGGGTCTGCTCGGACCGTGCAGTACTGAGTACCATGTGCCCCACGGACTGGGCCTGCGGAGGATCCCGAACCGGAAGCTGCACAGAGAGGAGAGGGTGCTAGAGTAGACTGAGCAGGGGCCGCCGGGAGGAAGGAGGAAGGCCGGGCGAGAGCGCTGTCAGGGGCCAGCAGAAGAAAGTCTTCCAGGAAGGAGGGAGTGCTGGCCACTGTGGAACATTGCCCGAAGTTGGGGTAAGCTGAGGGCGGAGAAGGGTCCTGTAGATTTGGCAACAAGGCACCGGGGCGACCTTGATGAGAGCCTCGAAGAGCGAACATGGACGCTGGATCGAAATGGCCCGACCGGCAAATGGGAGCGAATAAGTTGGAGAGAACAAGCACAGGTAACTTTTTAGAAAGTTCCACTTCAAAGGGAGGCTGAGAAATGGGGCGTTGGCTGGGAATAGAGGGGTCAAGGGAGGGTTTTGTCCACATGTGGAAGGTATAAAACTGGGTCTCTGCACTGATGACAGTGACCTGTATGAGGGGAGGGACCGATGAGACGGAGAGGGGGCTGCCCGGGAGCACAGCCCTTGATAAAGTAAAGGAGAGGGCATCCGGGGCACGGGAGGGCAGAGCTGGCCTTTGACGGAAGTGAGGCACAGAGAGCTGGGAAAAGGGGAGGCAGGAGAGAGGTCGAGGATTAGGTGTGGCCCTGCCTGGTGTGCCTCGGTGGACTGAGCGTCATTCCACAAACCAAGAGGTCGCCAGCTCAGTTCCGGTCAGAGCACGTATGTGGGTTGCAGGCCAGGTCCCTGGCTGGGGGAGTGAGAGAGGCAACCGATCCAGATTTCTCTTGTACACTGATGTTTCCCTTCCTCTCCTTCTCCCTCCCTTCCCCTCTCTCTAAAAATAAATAAAGTCTTTAAAAAAAAAAAAAGGATTAGGTGTGAAAGGCTTTTCACAATCAAGGCCGCTCGAGAAACAGCAGGATTTCCAGCAGCATTGCTAGGAATTTGCGATGCCTCTCGCCTGCCAGTTTGCTCGCTGGCTTGCCCGAGGCCGCACAGCTGTGAGGGGCAGCACAGGACCTGGAGCCCAAGCCTGGAACGCACCTCTGCAGGGGCTGCAACTGCCAGGACGCAAGCGACTCTCACACCCAGCAGCACCTGTGGTTCCCAGCTGTCAGTGCCACAGGGGAAGCGTAGAAAGAGAAACACACTCTCCCTCTTCTGTAATGTCTGTGTTTCATGGGTGCTTGGGGGCCAGTTGAACACAAAGGGCCGCTGAGGGCTGCTCCCTCGCAAAGTCTGTTTGCCAAACCATGCTGCCACTTCTCCATCTCCATCTGCATCGTCACCACTGGTCTCGTCCAACCCCAGGCTAGGAATGCTGGGATATTTGGGGTTCATGGCTCCCCACCCCATCCCTTAATTATCTGCCCTCCTTCATTTCCGTGTTACTTTTATTAAAGAAAATGCCCCCAGGGATGGTAAGCTTGGTGTTATCACAGGCAAACATCTTAGAAAGTTGGTACTCTCTTCCAGCGACTGTTTACAGAAACATTTCCACACCTCCCTGGACATTTCCAGGAAGTCCCAATATTTCCCAGCCACGGGTATTAATAAGCGGGTCTTGAAAAGTACAGGAAGCTGGTCCATGGCTTCAGGCACGTTTTACACTTGTACCTTCTAATCCCTAGGCAAGAGGTGATAAGACCCCAAGAGCTGGGTGAATCCCAGTCCCGGAGAAAGAGCCACTTTTCAGAGTTGGATCCGCAGGGGGAAATGCCGCCCTGTGACTTGAGGGGCTGTGACACCCCTGAAAAAGCTCTGCTCACGTCCTAGTCCCTGGAACCTGTGAGTGCTACCTTGTTCGGACAGAGTCCTTGCAGATGAAATTAAGGGTCTCTGGGTGGGCCCCAGATCCACTGACAAGCGTCCTTGCAAGAGACACACAGGGGACACAGAAGAGGAGGGGGCCCGAGTGACCATGGGTGCCGAGGCTGGAGTGACGCGGCCACAAGCCAAGGGACACCTTGGAGCCACCAGGAGCTGGAGCAGGCAAGAAACGGATCCTCCCCTCAGGCCTTCAGGAGCAGAACAACCCTGTGTGGACACCTTGATTTTGAACTTCTGGCCTCCAGGGCTGTGAGAAAATAAATTTCTGTTGTTTTAAAGTAACCGAGTCTGTGGCGGTTTGTGACAGCAGCCCTAGGAAGGGACATCAAGGGTGCACAGGCCTGGAGTCTGGGTGTCCATTGGATTGAGCTGAACTTGAGGCGATAGGCAGTCTGAGCCGGCACAGAGCGGCTTGTGCTGGAAAAAGCAGAACAAACTGACTCGACAAATCGACTCATGTCCACGTGGTGCAAACACTGACCTGCAGAGATAAGGGCGTGATACAGAGGTTAAGGCCACAGACTCCGTAGACAGATGAAGTAGGTTCAAACCCTGGCTTCATCTCTCAGTAACTGTGAAAACTGGGGCAGGCTTCTGAAGCTCTCTGTGCCTCGGTTTCCTCAAGTGTAAAATGGGGACCCTAGTAACAGCCCCTACCTGCAGGGTAGTTGGGGGGACCTCGGGACTTCATACGCACAAAGCACTGGGGGTCGGCGAATGCTCTGCTACCGGTAAATGGGCCCAGATCGAAACAGCCGAGAACGAGCTCGGAACAGGCAAGTAGGCACAAAGCGCGGACACCGACATAAAGTGGGTCAAACCAGCTGAAACTAACTGAAGGTGAAGGTGAAGGTAAACCCTCTCGACCCCGTGGGTCAACCCGTAGGAAAAGCAGGTAAAATCGGTCAGACAGGCTTGGGACAGTTCCGGCGCCTGTTCGGGCTCGCACGCTCCGGGGGTCTCTCTGGCCTCTGCGGCCGTCGGCCTGGAGAGGGACGGACATCCCGCAGGCTCCCGGGAGGGAGCGGAGGGTCCAGGCAGAGGGCCCGGGAAGTAAGCCCACACGGGAGGCAGACCACCTCCAGTCTCCCTGTCAGCCACACAGTCAACATCTGCTGAAAGGAACACTCAGACTTCTTGTGTCAAGTCAAGGCTCAGTACCAGGAACAGCCCTCCCGCTAAATGGACAAGGGAATCGATGTCTTGCTCCAGGATCCTGAGGAGTACCAGGAAACCCGGAGGTCACAAGGGCAGAATCAGAGCCGGTGGGGACCTGGAAGGTGTGCAGAACCCAAGGCCGCTCTCTTCCTCCCAGGGAGGGGAAGTAACTGCCTCGGGGCCAGTAGCTCCCGGGCAGCAGGGTGAGGTAAGGGACACCCTTGGGGGACGGGGAGTTTCAGGTGACAGACCAAAGTCAGAGGCTGTCACGGGGCAGCTCATTCCAGCGTTCACACGTGCCCCAACTCATTGGAAGTCCCCAGTCCCCGGTCACTCTACCCCACCCCCAGGGATGCTGTCTCCAGGGACACCGCACTGCATTCGTATCACTTTGTGTCTCCTGCTGATAGGGACAAATGCTGGGGAGGGCCCGGGGGAACTCACTCCCCTAAACCCTGGGTGGGGTAGGCAGTGGCCCTTCCACAGCAGCAGTCAGAAGCTGGGGAAATAAGGAGGGGCCCAGAGGAGAGGCCCCCCTGGTCACCACACGGCCGCTCGGACACAAACGTGCTTGGGCACAGAGGGGTGTCTCAGGTCAAGGGCCTGGGTGGAAGTGAGCACCAGTCCTGGTGAGGCCTCAGACATGCCACGTGATCTTGAACAAGTCCCCACTCTGTGCTTGCCTCACTAACCCATAGCTGACAGGGAGGGAGCCCACCCTCGTCACCTAGGGCGGTAAGATTTAGCAATCAGATAGTTTATTCAGTGTAACCCTGTCGTTTGCAAGGGAAACACAGAGACCCAGAGAGAGGGAGGCATTGGGCCCCAGTGGCACTGCAGGCAGGTGGGAGATACAGGGACCCATCAGTGCTCGTCCAACCACCGTGTGCTTCTTGAACGCCCTCTGCATGCAACGCCCTCTCCTGCGTCCTGGCCAGCTCGGATGCCTCGCAGCATCTGCTCCGGTGCGGCACCGCTATGGGCTGGGCATTGGATGCGAATGATCTCATCCTCCAACCCCTCTCTGAACTGTCCTCTCCATTTTCACAGGCAGGAAAACTGAGGCCCAGAGAGATGACTCATCAGACCTAGTTATTTGAGCCCTTGTCTCCAGTTCCCCCAGGGCCGAAGGGAGGATGAGGATGGAATGCTGGAGGCCAAGGGTCCGGTAGAAGACACGGGGGACGTGCCGGAGAAGCAACTTGTTGGGAGGCGGCCAGGGAGTGCGCTCCGGCTCAGAAAGAAACTGGGAGAAAGGGCCCCACTGATTCATTGTGAAACAATTTGTTGTATTTGATTTTTAAGTTAGTTAATTAATATGTTCTCATGGTTCAAAAAGCTGTAGAAAAAGCCTACAGCAAAAAGTCCTACCCTGGCCCAGACGCCTCATCCGCTCTCTTCTGACTCCTCAGGCCCAACCCACCGCAGGCCCCCACTTTGCATGCGTCTCTCAGCTACGCTTCCCGAGCTTCTGTGCGCAGCGTGTAAACACGAATGCGTGTCTGTCAGCCCACTTTCGCATAAAAGGCACGAACCACACATACCGCGCCGCCCCTTGCCCACTGGTCACGTGTCTTACTGACCTTTATCAGCAGAGAGAGCTTCCTCCTTTCATATCACTGCATGGTTTCCATTGTAGAAACTGAAATAATGCATTTAATCGATGCCCTAGTGACAGCGCTTGAGTTGTTTCCAGACTTTTGCTCTTTTGGTTTCACAGCAGTGCCGTGGTAGTCCCTTACGTGTCTAGTTTCATACGCACGCAGGTGTATTTGCAGATTAAGTTCCCTGAAGGGGATGACTAGGTTGCAGGTATTGTATTAGTTTTCTGTTGCTGCACACACTCAGCAGCGTAAAACAACCCTGGTCCACTAGCTGACAGTCTGTTGGTCAGAAGGCGGGCCGCCTGCTGTGCTTGGGTTCCCCGCTGAGGGTGAAATCAGAGTGTCGGTAAGGCTTGGTCCTCTCTCAGGTGGAGGTTCTGGGGAGAATCAGTCTCCACGCTCGTTCCAGTCACCAGCCAGGTGTGCTTCCTGGTGGCTGTAGGACCGAGGTCTCTGGTTTTTTGCTGACTACCACTGGGGGTCTCCTCGGCTCCTAGATGACACCCACACCCTTTGCCATGTGACTTCCCCCAAATGGGACAACACATGCTTCTCACGCTTCATGCTTTAAACCTCTGGCTTCTTTTTCTGAGACCAGCCAGAGAAAATTCTCTGCTTTTCAAGGCCTCCCTGGTCAAGTCCAGCCCACTCAGGGTCATCTCTCTACCTTAAAATCAACTGGGTTAGGGCCTTACTCACATCTATGAAAGCTATTTTGTTACATAATGGGATATCACTGCTGAGTTCACAGTTTCATTCCATTCAAAGATTCTGCCCACACACAAGGGATGACCCAGAGGTGAAAGCCAAGGAGGGTCGCCTTGGAATTCTGCCTAACACAGTGCACTTACAGTTTGAAGGCAGTGTCATCGCGTCCCCGCAGGGGTTGTGCTGGAGGGTTTTTCCCTGCCTCCAGCAATGGCAAGTGTGACTGCTTTTCCCCAAAGTCACCTGAGAACGTTATCAAGCTTTTGAGTTTCTGACAGCCTGATAGATGAAAAATGGAATTCCAGTGTATTTTTTAAATTTTTATTTATTGATTTTCAGAGAGAGAGGGGAAGGGAGAGAGAAAGAGAGAGAAAGAGACATCAATTTGTTTTTCCATTTATTCGTGTATTCATTCGTTGCTTCCTGTTTGTTCCCTGACTGGGGATTAAACCTGCAACCTTAGCATATCAAGATGTTCTAACCAACCGAGCTACTCAGCTAGGGTGGAATCCCAATTCATTTTATTTTATTTTATTTTATTTTATAAATTATTTAAAATTTATTTTTAGAGAAAAGTGAAAGGAGGGAGAAAAGAGGGAGAGAAACATGATGTATGAGAGAAACAGCAATCGGTTAGCTCTCTCACACCCCCAAATGGGGACCTGGCCCACAACCCAGGCATGTGCCCTGACTGGGAATCGAACCGGCAACCTTTTGGTCCACAGGCTGGCGCTCAATCCACTGAGCCACACCAGCCAGGGCTCAATGTGTTTTAAATTTATAGTTATCTTCTTATGAATAAGGCTGAGGATTTCTTCAAAACCTTAAAAGCCATTTATATTTCTTTTTATGGCTTCTGGTTTTGAGTCCTCAAAAGGTCTTTCTAACTCCAAAGTTCATCAGAAACCTTCCCATGTTTTCTTCTGGTGCTTTTATGGTGTCATTTTAGACACTGGTTGTTGGAACTGGAAGCTTCTCTTGTCATTTCCTCAGCAGCAAGTGCAAAGTTGGACCCAAAAAGCTTGGGGTTTGGGGTAGAGAGGGAGCTGCCATGGCAGATGCCTCTCGCTGCGGGGCTCTGACTTCCTTCAGCTCTTCCAGAAATCCCAGCCAGGAGACTTCTCACTTCCCCTCCTGCAGTTGAGTTCGGGGAAGCACCGCCCTACCTGAGGAGCGTGAAAAAGCAGCTGGCCAGACCGGAACTGGAGATGCCAAACCCGGGCTGAGGGTGTGAGGGAGGGAGATGGGGATTCTGATAGGTGGCTCCCGGGAGAGAAGGCATCTGAGCTGAGCCTTAAGAATGAAGGACATGTAAGGCAGTGAGTGATGGGGGAAGAGGAACAGCGGGAGCAAAGACAGGGAAGTGGGAAAAGCAGCCAGAAGTCTAGCTTGGAGAGAAGGATTTAGCGGACCATGAGGTCCTCCAACATAGAACGACTTTTTCTCCATGCATCTGCCAGAAATGGTGACTTCAATGAAGCAGAAGGGACATGGGGCTTTGATCCAAGGTTAAATCATTTTCCCTTTGCTCTCACAGTGAGAAGCAAAGCCCTCCAAGAAGAAAGAGGTCCTTGGCCACGTGGTTATTTCAGAACCTGGCGATATCTGCGCACCACTTCCCCCTTGTGGCTGATCTGGGAAGTGTCCATGACTATTCTGGTGCTGGGTTTGAGCACAACAAGTCTAAGAACCCCACGTGGGGAGGAGGCTGAATGGGTCTCAGAGAATTGACAAACCATGAAATCCTGCTCTGAGACTGTCTGCGTCTAATGGGCCCTAGGAGACTATCTAGTCGGACCTCTTCCTTGCATA